TTAAATCCATCACTCAAATACTACAATTAACATTAGATATTAATAATCAATTTTTTTTATTATTAAATTTCAACAAAGTTTGATTTCTATATTTGAATGTGTGTGTAAAGAATCTACCGATTTATCCTTAACATGAAATTTCGATATGTTTTTGAAACTAAATGTTTACGTTAAATTTTTAAAACTATTTTTAATTCATTGTTTACGTTTTAAAATTTTAATTTTTTAACATTTCAATCATTCTATTGGAGCTGGCCCGAACAAATGATAATAATTTTCTAGAGGGCTTTTTGACATGAAACTTGTTTCATACATTCTAATGAAATCCATTGTGTAAGAAACAAAGTGAAATATAAAACAACAATTCATTCTAGTTCTAAACTAAAAATCACTTTTATTGTAAAACTATATGTAGACGCACACAAAAAATATTTTAGTCAATCGTAAATTTATTAGTTCAAGTACAGTGGAAGCCCGTTAAGAGAAACACTGAAGGGAGTCACAATTAACGGGCTTTTTCTCTTAACGGACTTTTTCGAAGGGTTATTTTTGACTTTCGTCTCAATGCTTTCTGCCCTTTTAAATGTTCTTGTTAAAGTGGCTTGAGAAATTTTAAATTTTCCTGCAAGACTTGAACGGCTTTCACCGGCATTTCTAAGTTCAATAATTTTTAACTTATCTTTTGCATTTAAAGTTTTTTTTTTTGAATGCAACTGCTGCATTTTTGTTTTGACGCGTCTCTAATCTATCGTAAACTGATAGAATAATACGATAAACGCGTTGACGAATGCAAAACTGCGTTTTTTTCTCTCATTTACTTTTAATGAGCGCGCTTTCAGTATGAACTCTCATGCTCACCCCAGGGCTTTGCTTTTATTAGAATTTTGCTCTTAACCGGCAAAAATTGTTCGGAAATGTGAGTGTGTGGGGATTTAGCGAGCTTTTACTCTTAATGGAGTTGCTCTTAACGGGCTTCCACTGTATAAGTTAGTTTAAAAGTTTGTCATTAGGTAATATAAGTGTTCTGAATATTTTTTGATCAATTTAGTTGAAATCTTTTACATTTTGCTCGGACAACTTAATTTAGATGTAAAAAAATTATTTTAGATATATTCCATGCATATTTGTAAAACATCACATCAACAAGTCACATCAAACATAACATTTGTAAACGATTCGATAGAAGTCAAGGGTGAGTAAGGTCATACACATATTGTAAAATCATTTATTAAAACTTCTTGCATTTAGACACTTTCATAATATCATTCATCCTTCTAAAAACAATTTCATTCACACAAGCATATTCACATAGGTAGAAATGAGATGAAAATTTCAGTCACAAAATGCTCATATTAATATTTTCATCAGATCATAAAATCACTTGAATCTCGTTCAAATTCAATGATACATCTTTCTGTTGAACAAAACTGAAACTGTGGTTACTGTGTGAGTGTGGAATGATCAATGTTTTGGTTAATAGCCGAAACTTTGGTTTTTGAGTGTGTTTGGTTCAGGAGTGTGGAATAATAGTGGAATAGTCTTAACTCTGTTTTTCTTTTTTTAAACTAAAAAGGATTTTCAAAAGTTTTACGATGGCAAAAGCAGGATTAAAAATTACTGTTAGCAGCGCCGAATTGAATGATATAATGGTGATGGATACCTGCCCCATGACATTCTACCCTCCGGGTCCTGTGAACAAAAACACAAAAGCGGAAACAGTGAATGAATACATGGGAAAATTTATCACTACTGTCTTAACCCGAACGTAAGCCGCAGGCTTTTATTCGAATTTTGCTTGAAAAATGCCCTGCGGCTTAAAATTCGATCGGAAAACTCGAATAGAAGCCGCACCCGAATAAAAGCATTTTTGACCAAAAAAAGCTTGTATTCGAATAAGCAAGCCTGCGGCTTACGTTCGGGTTAAGACTGTAGTCGAGGCAGTGGCAAAGGCCGTGATGTTGGTTTTGCCCCTGTATTCAAAAAGAAGCTGGAAGCACTGCTTGGAGTTAACGGCTTAATATCAAAAGGAAACTTCATACAAGTCGGTAAAAAACGCGATAAATGTAGAATGTTCGCATACTTTAAATGTAGTGGTTCTAATATTTCGGTCAGTGCTCCTTGGCAGAACTTTAAAGTTGGCGAAGACATCACGTTTGACGTCAAGGAATGTTCGTCAAAAAGTTCACCTGACTCTACAGTTCCAACATTCTCAGGCGAGTCATCTTCTGGATTCAATGTAAGTTTTTTACTTTTTTACAGTATATTTTCATAAAATTCTCGATATTACGATAGTTTTTGTCTCCCTTCAATCGTAATTGTATCGTTTTTTTCTCTCGATAGGACCATCAACAAAAAAAGAGTAGGCAAAACATGAAAGAAACAGCTGAAGAAGTCTTGTTGATCCCTGACTCCACAGTTCCAACGGCTTCAGGCAAGCCATCTTCTGGATTCGATGTAAGTTTTTTTCTTTTTATATAGTGAATAGTAATGAATCATTAAAAACTTCATTAAAAACTTGTTTCAGTCAACTAAATTTATGGAATTATTGCAGGAACGGCTTCAAGATATTTTGAACTGCAATAACAGCCGATCTTTGCATTTGACAGAGGCAAATAAGCGTGCTTTTTGGGTCAAAAACTTACCATCTGTCGGGAATCAAATCAAAACAATGTTTTGTCAAGAAGCTCTTAATCTTCAAGGGGATTATTATTTTCCTGCATCGAGTGAATCTGAAGAGTCAGCTGCATTGGGTGAATTTGACGAGACAGCTGCACCGGGTGAATCCAACGAGCCACCGACACCTGGCGAATATTTTTTGCCACAAACACCAGATGTATCTTTTTTGGCACCGACACCAATTGAATCTGCTCTGCGACCGACACCACGCAAAACAAAAGTTTTTACACCAGTACCAAGGAAAATTTTTGTTTTGCCTCCGACACCAGGTAAAGATGATCAGAGTTGGGCGATCCATTTTCCGATACGGATCGCCGATCCAAAACATTTT